AACAAACCGTTTATTTCCCCCCCTTTTTTGGTTTGATTTTTTTTTTTTAATCTCCCCCGTGTGGTGCGAAGGCAGGGGGGAGTTCTGGTTCTTTTGCCTTTTTTTATTTTTCCTTCTTTTAGCACGAAAATTTGCAGGCTGCCGCACCGCCACCACGCATTTACTCCTTTATTCCCCTGCTCATTCTCTCCCCCCAGCCCTCCTCCACCCCAAAGGTTTATTTATTTTTTTTTCCTCCCTCCCCCCTTCCTTTTTCCTGGGCTGTCTTGCGAGGAGCGGCCCTCCCAGCAGCCCCCCGAGTTCTGGCAAGCCAGCGAGGAGGCAGAAGCTCCCCCGGAGTGGATGGCAGCGAGCGGACGCCTTTGCCAGCTCCTCTATTCCCAGCATCCATATTTAGTTCTCTCTACATATCCTTCGATTGCCTGGGGTCATAAATTAGTACAATTAATTATCCCAATCTAAAAATTGATGGCACGTATAACCCTTACCTCAGCGCCTTTTTATTACGGTGCTCTGAAATAGAAAAGTGCTGGGGGTACAGGGCTTCCAAGAAAAAGACACCTACATACGGATTTTTTTGTCCTTTTTTTTGTCTTTTTTTTTCTTTTTTTTTCTTTTTTTTCTTTTTCCCGTGACGTTCGGTTATATTTACATTGAGCTGCTCTACAATAGCGAACATAACAATATTACAGAACGGTTCTGAGACGAGAATAAAATACACAAATAAGTACAGCAGAAACGTCCAACACCATGACGGAACATCATCGAGCCATATTCCCTTCAGTCTCTTTTTTTTTTGTCTCTTTTTCCTCTCTTTTGTACAAAATATTCACGCACGAGCTCGCGGAATTAAAAAATAAAAATACTGGATCAGTTTAATTTATGAAATAAAATACTAAAAAAAAAATTCAAGTACTTCTCGTGTTTGTTTTCTGAGGAGGACAAAACAAAAAAAAAAAACAAGGAAGAAGAAAGGAAGAGAAAACGAACCCCCCCCCCAACATCTTTCTTTTATTTCGTTGCATTTTAGAAAAGACTTGTGTCCCAAAACGCTCGCTGTGTTTGCCTAGAACGCTAAACATTCATCCGCACATTCAAAGTCAGAAACATTTCAACCCCCAAAAACAGCCTCTTTTTTTTCCCTTTTTTTCTTTTCTTTTTTTTTCTTTTTTTTTTTTTTTTTCTCTCCACCCTCTTTTCTCATTGACTGGACTTTGCCAACTTTATTGCTGTTCTTTATCGGTTTTTTCTTTATTCATTTTCTTCATTTTCATTCGCCTGTTCTGAAACCAGATTTTGACTTGGCGTTCAGTGAGATTAAGGACTCTGGCTACTTCGTACCTCCGGTCCCGTGTAAGGTACATATTGAATAAAAACTCTTTTTCCAGTTCCAGGGTCTGATACTTTGTGTAAGGACATCTTTTCTTCCTCGTGGAGCGCGCATGAATCCAATTTGCGACGGGATTGTCTGAGAAAGAAGATTTTTACATTTTTGGGGGGAGGAAAAAAAAATCAGTGTATACAGCTGGCCTTTCTTCCCTCCCTCCCTCCACGCCCTGGTGTATCTCTAGAAAGAAACCTGTTTAATTAGCAGATTTTACCTAAATATTTTAAGTGACCTTCAGAAGAGTTTGATCTGTTTATTTTGGAGGGGTCATTTCCTTTTCTTTCTCTGCTGTTCTCACATAAAAGTTTCAGTAAATAAAACTGTAGCAATGGGTTTAAAATAATAATTATCCACATGACTGCTACTAGCAGTAATCTAAGAACATAGTCATAAAAAGTCAAATTTCCCACCATTTCATAGGCCCATAAACTCTTTTTACAACCTCAGCTCTCCAATACTTTCCCTAGAAGCCTTCCCAGACCTGGAAAGCCGGGTTTGTTTTTTTTAATATCTGAAGGATGACACGCGAGATGTCCCACTGGCTCCCAGA